TTGAAATGTACATGGAGATGTAGAGACTTAGTGTAACTTCATTTTAAAATGGAGAAAATTGATTGCCCAGGTCATGTGTAGTTCCTGAAGAGAAAGAAGCTGTCTCGTAAGGGTTGTTTCATTAGGTAATAACATTATATCTGAAAAAGCACATTGCAGAAAGGGTGCTGTGGAAGATAAGTTTTCTCTCCACCACATCCATTCTCTTTTTTTTCTTTCCCCAAGAGGCAGGCAGTAACCAGTGTCTAGGGCTTTTGAGAGCTGAAATGCAACCATTGCAAATTGCACCATATCATTCACAGTTTTGGTATCTTTTTTTAAAAGACATGTTCAAAAGTATACCTGAAAATTATAGAATCTAGGTATTTTTATTTTTTGGTCTATGAACTTTCCACTTATATATCATTTAGGCAATTGGTTTTTGCTAAGCCAAGTGAATAGACTTTAAAATAATGATTTATTTCTAGTATATCATATCAAATCATTTTCTGTTTAATTTAATGTACTGTTCACATTTCTTTTAGAGAAAAGGAAGCCATGGTTGTTGATTTATTTTATAATGAATCATGCTGATGTTAAAAATATTTAGAGAAATTTATACAGCAGCTATTACTGTTAGTTACCAAAAATGGAAATCTGAATATTTACTTTTCTATTTAAAAAAAGGAAAAAAATGGCAGAAGCCTTGGGATGTAGCTTAGTGGTAGAACTCTTGCTTAATGTAAGTGAAGCTCTTGGTTCAGTCCCTAGTACAAAACAAAATAATAACAAAGCAAAAACTAAGAAGGAAATGGTAGGAAGGTTTCGAAAAATTCATTTGCTTTTAGACTTATGTAAGTTTGTAAGGTAATGTACAAATGTTCAATCTTGGGGCCAGTGAGAAGTAACACTGCTCGTCAATCTGTGTGTGTGTGTATGGCATGTGGATGTATTTGTGTGAATGTGTTCATGTGGGTCTAGACATATGGATGTGCGGATGTGGAGGCTGGAGGTTGACAATGGCTGCTTTTCCAAATTGCTTTCCACTTTATTTTCTGAGAGTTTCTTCCTGAATGAACTCCGGGGAGTTCATCCTTGACTGGGCTGGCTGGCTAGTGAGCTCCTGAAATCATCCTGTTTCCGGCCTTCTGTGGGTGGCATTCTGGATGCCCTCACTTTCCATGGGTCCTGGGGATCCATGCTCAGTCTCCACGAGCCACCTGTTCTCTGGCTCCCCTAAAGAACTGACTAGTGCTAGAGAACACTTACTGTACCTGACCTCACAAGTGCTGGTGTGTGAATGCCACAGTGCCAGACCTTTAATTTACAGTAGGAAGTACTGGGTACAGTGGCATCTAATATTCAGTCAGTGCATTTTCCTCCAGTAGGCAAATTTGGGAAAGCAAATTATAATCAGTTTCTTTTTATATTTTTTTTTATTGAAAACACACTTTTTCATATGATATATCCTGATTATGGTTTCTCTTCTCTCTACCCCTCCCAGTTCCTGCCAAACTCCTCTCTCATCCAGATCCATCCCCTTTCTGTTTCCCACTGGAAAACAAGCAGGCTTATAAGGGATAATAATAAAACAAGATATAATAAAATAAGATAAAATAAAAACACATTGGAATAGGTCAGAAGAAACAAGCTCAAGAAAAGGCACAAAGCAGATTCAGACACAGAAACCCACTCATTTGCACACTCAATCCCATAAAAACACAAAACTAGAAGCCATATATATATGCAGAAGACCTATAGAGTAAAAAATGAGAAAAATAAAAATAAAAGAGCTCTTCCATGACATTGAGATAAGCAAAGATGCTGCTCAATTTTGTTTTCTGTTGGTCATATACTGCTGGGCAGGCAGCCTACCCTTAAGAGTTTGTTTCCTCAGTGAGATTCTCTTGGAGAAAATTAAATTTTCATTTGCAACTGCATATCAGTTGGAGATAGCTTCTGGGTTATGGAGGAGGGCATATGCTCACTTCTCCTTTCAGCTGTAGGACCCCATCTGGTGTGGACCCATACAGGCCCTGTGCATGCTGCCTTAGTCTCTGTGAACTTGTATGTGCATCAGTCCTGTTGATTAAGAAGGCCTTGTTTCCTTGGTTCCATCTCCTCTGGCTCTTACACTCTTTCCAACTCTTCTTCCACAGGGTTCCCTGAGCCCTGAGGGGAAGGATTTGAAGGAGACATTTCATTTAGGGCTGAGTGCTCCAGGGTCTCTCATTCTCTGCATAATGTCTGGCTGTGGGTCTCTGTATTTGTTCCCATCTGCTGCAGGAGGAACCCTCTCTGATGATGGCTGAGCAAGGCACTGGTCTATGAGTATAGTAGAATGTCATTAGGAGTCATTTTAGTACTACATGTTTTTGTTTTGTTTTAGTACAGAAGTATTTAATTTTAACCTAGGTTCCTGGGCTGTCTATCTAGTCTCAGGTTCTTGATCACACAAGCAGTGCTGGGTATGGGTTCCATCTCATAGACTGGGGCTTATGTCAAATTAGATATTGTTTAGTTACTCACATAAGCTTTGTGCCATCATTGCACTTAGCACATCTTGCAGTCAGGACACTATTATAGATCAAAAGGTTTGAGGCTGGGTTGGTGTTTATATTTCTCTTTTGGTAGTGTAAGCTTAGTTTCTTGATAAGCATTGAGTCAGTTTAGTGTGACATCTTTCTCTTATGAGCACAAATGCTACGCAGACTAGACAGTTTCAATTTTTGGTGTCCTCTCATATTAGACCAGGCCATGTGCATTGACAATTTCTGCTTTCCTGATTTCTTTACTTATGGAGGTATAGATTATCTCCTTGAGCACATTTTTTTAAAACTAGAGTTTTACAAAACTGACTTCAATAAAAAGAAATTTGAGGTAATGTATATGAAAACACATAGCTTAATGTTTGGTATCCAGCAAGTGAATGGTAACTATTAATAAGCACAAGTGCTTTTGGGTCTACCTCACTTTGTTACCTGCAGTGAGAAAGAGCCTTTTGGGTCACTTCTGTAGATAACTATTCTATTTTATCATATATTTTTGATATGTGTCTGCTGATGCAAAAGGCCAGATCAGACTAGATTAAAAACTGGTAAATTGAGGTTTATTGGACGTGCCTCCTGGGCAGGTTCACCAGTACCAAAAGTAGGCCCAGATAAGTCACATGCCCAGGCTAAGGCAGGGAGGTTTTATAGATCTTAGGCAAGAGGTGATGACGTGCCAGCCAGGAGCTAGGACTGTGCGCAGCTTGGTCCCTGGGCATGCACTTGAATGCCATTTTTTGTTCCAAAACTTTGAGAGTTTTCTCAGCATGGGAGGGATGGGGTAAGTAGGGCAGACAGGGTTTCCCAGCTTGTGCAAGGGGAAGCAGGAGTTCCAACTGAACAATTCTGAGTAATTTTCATTCTTGCAATTCTTTCTTTTCATTTACTTCCTTAATTTGTCCTTAATGTTGGCTCTCTAAACTAATTAGGGTAATATCATTTCACTCTGAATTATTTTACAACTATTTTGTATTTAAGATATTTATTACTTTAAAATTTTAGTTTCTTGTACCCAAATACTATATTCTCATGTTTCTTCCATCTATAGTATTAATTGTTGGGATATGTGATCTTAATGTTAGTGCTTGGCTTCATAATATATTTGATTTTATGTTTTATTTGAGTAGATATTAGTTGTGACTTCCATCAAGCCATATTTATTTTTATTTCAAGCTCTGCTTCAATTCTCTTACATAGTAGAGAATTATTTTTAAAATGGAGGCAGTGTCTTAGAGTAAGGAGTTGGCCATAGTGTTGGGAGGTAATGGTTGGAATTCTAAGCGTAGAGATAGCACATTGGTTGGTTAATTCAGCAGGCAACAACGACATTGCTGATCTGGCAAACACAGTAGGCAGACCAAAACTTTCTGTATGAATGTGAGTACAGAAGAGATGATTCAGATGAACCAGCCAGTCACCCTATCAACAATAAGTGCTGTTCATGCGCTTCTCCACACATCTGGAGGATTGGCTTGGTTTTTTTTGGTTTTGTTTTGTTTTTTAAGAAAAGCAACATAGAGTAGGAAATGGTAGAGAAAGCGCTATAGAAAATTTGTGTGTGTGTGTGTGTAGGGGGTGGCAGGATGTAGAGAGAAAATGAGAACTTGAATAGTAGGAAGACCCCTCCCCCCTTTAATGAGTTAAGTGACAAGAAAAGCACACAGGTGGGAAACATTTTTTTTTTGGTTTTTCGAGACAGGGTTTCTCTGTGTAGCTTTGCGCCTCTCCTGGAACTCACTTGGTAGCCCAGGCTGGCCTCGAACTCACAGAGATCCGCCTGCCTCTGCCTCCCGAGTGCTGGGATTAAAGGCGTGCGCCACCACCGCCCGGCTTAGGGAAACATTTTTTAAGGGAAAAAGAATAAAATATTTTGGCTCACATTTTCTAAAATAATGATCTATAAGAGAAAACTGATGTAGGTTTTTCTTTAGCATGTAACTGAATGAAACTTGATGCCTCCCAGTGCATCCATTTTGTTTTCATGTCTGTTTTAGTATCAGCAAATAAATTCATTTCAGAACTGTGGGTATTCCACAGCAGAAGACTGTCAGCATCCTTAAATACTATTCGCTCTAGCTTTCAGTTCCCCTTAAGGAAATATTCCAATGGAGGGGAGAAAGGCATAGGCTCAGGGGAAGGTCAGAGGTGCACCGGTGATGCCAGGCACATAGTGTGGCTTTCCAGTTTGGTGAGCAAAGGACTGGCCCACATTATTGTATCTCATTCCTTTGCATATCAGCAGCAGCCACTGTCTTTTCAAGAGGTCTTGCCAAGAAATAAGAACAGAGTATATTTTCTCTGTAGCACACAGAAATTTTCTGACTTAGCAGATCACTTATTTGAACTTGATGGGAGAAGATATAATGTGTGTTGATTCTAACACGCGTCTTGGAGGAATTTGGTTGTCCCATTATACAGGCTAACTTAACCTGGCAAGAACACTGTATGACATTCTGTTTGGGCTTTACATACCTTGGTGAGCCAAAGTTTCTGGTATTGCCTCAGGAGGAATGGCCCAATTGACGGTGAAGATGAAGGATATTTGCTGTAATATAGGCCAGATCACAGATTTAACTAAATTAAGTAAATCAAATCTCATCAAGACTTAGTACTGAGCAGTTAAAACCTTTTAAATTACAGACACCCCCACCCCGGAAGCATCAGTTTTCCACATATGAAAAGTAGCAATGCAAGGGAAGCAGCTGTTTGTTCTCACATGTTTGTGTTCAGGAAGTCAGTTTCTAGTTCGGTTCTGTGCAAGCTTCTGGAGGATGACATTTTTAGGCAGAGCCTCAGACTGGTCTTTGGCTCTCCTCAAAGGTTAACAGCTATTGATTCATCTAGTATGCAGACAGTGGGATGCTTTTATGAATCCGAGCAAAGGAATGAATGACAGGAAATGAGAAGGTTCATCTGAAGAATATGAGAAGAAAAGCCCTGGCAGGTCTGCAGTGTAGAGTCTGACTCATCCTAATACTGGGAAACTAGTTTTCTAGACAATCCTCAGAAATAGGGACCTTATGTTATCTATCTATCTATCTATCTATCTATCTATCTATCTATCTATCTATCATCTATATCTATCTTATCTATCATCTATTTATCTATCTATCTAATCTATCTTATCTATCAATCTATCATCTATATCTATCTTATCTATCCTATCTATCTATCTATCTATCTATCTATCTATCTATCTATCTATCTATCATCTATACTGTTATTGTCTGAGCAGAGCCCCTAAGACATAATACACATTCCAGAATGTTAAATTAAATTGAAATCAGGGCTGGTGAGATAGCTCAACGGATGAAGGTGTTTGCTCCCCAGCCTGACATGTCAGCGGGACTTCAATCTTTGGAACCCAATGGAGGCAGTAGGGAACCAACTCCCAGCGTTGCTATTGGACCTCCACATGCCCTGGACTACATAACAGTAAATAATTTAAAAAAATTAAAAGTCACTAACTCGACATCATTTGGTGATGGTTAGATTTTTAAGACCTAATGCTTTCTTCGAAAGTTCTTACAGCCTTCATTTTGTTCAGGAAGTTGACACAAATGTTTGGCTTCTTAGGATTTGTTCTCTTTGTAAATTTTATTTCTGGTATGTGATTTTTTTTTTAACTAAATTTGGGCATAATTCTATCCAAAACCTTCAGAGGGCAGGAAACTTCGGGGTGGTCTGATTAATTCTGTCATCAACTTAAACAACAGAGCACATGCCCATAAACATCTAACCTTTGATTTGCTTATCACCGAATAAAATCCATCTGACAACTCTGAGGTTGCTTTAGTTTAAAATATTTTTGAAGCTTATGTTACAATGGATTTTCTGTCTAATAACAAAGCCCTGGCACACATTGATATTATTATCCCTTTTGTAGTTTCCTGGAATAATTTAGCAAAACAGATTCCCTGAACGACCGACAGCTAGCCAATAGCTCCTGTAGTATTTCACTTTTCTTAGCTTGAGTGCTTTCGGGCACAGGCACCACTACTGAATCTGAAACATCTAAATGTTATCTAAAATGTTTGTTCCAAAATCATGGTAGATTTTTCTGGTTTTTGGCTTACCATGTTCTGAACTCTGAGGAAATTACAAGTTGAAATTAACCTGTCAAAAGCTCAGGAAACTTTCTTTCTCAAGTGGAAATGACCAGAATATAATAAGGTATAGTTTTATAAAAGACAGTCATTTTGATTAACTGTTAAAAGTGTAAGGGATAAAGTACTCTGTAATACTGTGATTTCTGCAGAGCTGAGAGTGAAGACAGGCGATCTCAGTGAGCCCATTCTTTAAAATCTCCTTATGCCTACCACCTTGCTACCCTAGAGGACTTTATAAATTCATAAGTGGAATAAAATTTAAACATCATTAATTTTTTATTTTAATAGTGGAATACACTTCTTGTATAATTTTGGGAGTCATAAATAAAATGAAAATAAAGACTATCTTCAGCCTACTACCTGAAAATAACAACACACTGTTGTGGTTTTTCTCCATCATTTTATAAGTTTGTGTTGTCTGAATCCTACACAAGTACATACGCTCACACTACAAATGCAGATGAAATGGATTTTGTCATTGACTAACTTTCCCATATTGTTAAGTATTATCTCACAGAATTATTTTATTAGCAAGTTAGTTCACACTGCAGGATTATAATACTTTATTGCTGGATATGAAAAATTTTCAATTTTCCTACCTTCCCTTTCCCCGTTTTCTATTATGGATGTTGCACTGAACATTCTTTGAAATTTTATTTGCATTCATAGCTATTCTTTAAGGGAACATTTGTGAAAAGAATTTCTGGGTCAAGCTCACGGCGGGTTTGGTGACTGCAACCCTGCCCGTCGCGGGGTGCGGCGGGGTGTCGCGGGGTGCCGGGCTCTTGGACGCAGCTTTACCTGGTGGGTGCGGGGGACGCGGCGCCTCAGCCCCGGGCTGCGCGGTTCCCGCTCGTTGCTAACCGGCGTGTCTTTGTCTTTCCTCCCTGGGGTCCGCTGCGCCCGTGGGGGCCGAAGCCTGGCGAAGCCGTCGCCCCGCAGCGCCGCCATCCTGCGTCCGCCCGCGGGCGCCGTCACCACGCGCCAGGCCGCCTCCAGCTGCCGCGCCAAGCTCCGCGGCGCCGCCAGGGAGCGCCAGCACGCGGCGCGCGCCCTCGGCAAGCCGGCCGCCCCGTGACGCCGCCGCCGCCGCCGCCGCCGCGCGCTCCCGCGGCCGCGCGCACCGCCGGACCGCAGGCGCCCGGGTCGCCTCCGCAGACGCCGCGTCCACCGTCGCCTCGGCGGCGGCGTCGCCGAACCCCGCTGCCGCCGCCTGCCCTGCCCCTCGGGACGCCGGGCCTCTCAGTGCTGCGTGCAACGCGTTTCTTCAGCCCGCCTGCAAAATCCCGGCTTCTTGGAAAATCTCACCGCACACGATTCCTTTTCCGTAGTTCTTGTGATGACCTCCTGTTCCCACACAGATTCTTTTCATTATTAGTTCTTCGAAGCCAACTTCGTTCTCTTCACCTCAAGGCCTCATCAAGCTCCACCTCCCACGCCCATCTGCTGAAGATTCCTGCTGTCCAAATTCTCGTTGGCCCTTGGGTGGCCCTTGCAGAGTCGTGTCATGCACGACTGTAATTGTACTCGAACATTAGGCTTTCTCTTCCCTGTAACTTCAGCTCCAATTACCCTTCCTCTCTTTGGAGTCGGTCCTTGCTTGTCACCTTTTAGAAACTGGATCCTCTCTAGAATATTGTTCGGGGGGTGATCATGTGCCTCTCAAAGCTGCTCGGGGAAGGCTGGTTGGCTGAGCCCTTCTTGTGTTCCCAGGGACTCTGCCCCTGGGTTTACATCGAGGTTGTGCTTCTCCTGGGCTATTACCCGTGACTGGTCATAGCCAAGGTAGCCTTGACATTCATGTGACATTCATGGTCCCTCAGTGAACTATTTTGGGGTGGGGGCCCCTCAACTCTTGGCGGAAATTTCCTTAGGACTGCCGGCTTCAGTCTGTAGCCCCTCTTGCTCTTGCCTTTCACAGGTGAGTCAGACCTGCCTTATGGCATGAAGGCCCTTTTCTCTCCTCTTGTTTTCTTTTGTCTTTCTCAGGTGTCCCCTCAACACAATTGCTGCACAATGACCTCTGTCTTGGTGTCTGCTGCTAGGACCTGAACTGACACACCAGACATTCCATTCTCTGATCACCATCCTCCTGTCCTGAGTTCTTTGTTCCTTGACCTCATTTTTCTGCTGTTGAGCAGGCCATGTCTTGGATATATTTCCTTGGCTAGCCCAGATTCCATAGCCCGTTATAATCATGCCTTGAAATGCAATTCTCTCAGCACTCTCAAACCTCAGTTTTTTCCAAGTTATTTTCCTAGCAAAACAATCCAACCCTGGCTGTAGGTAACCTCTGCCTCGCACTGGCCTGACCGGAACAACTGACCATTTCCTTTAAGAAAATCACAAAACTCAACCAACCTCTTCTACTTTCAACACATTATTTCAAATCTTTTCCCTACGCTCTTCTTGGTCCCCACTCTAGGTCTACTTGTTTCTATGCATGTATCGCCTCAGAGTGTCCCTTTTGTTTCATATTTCTCTGAGAAACAAGAGTTGTATACAGACCTCCTCATCTTCCTGCTACAGTGTATGGAAATGACCTTCCGTTTTGTGACTGTGAAAAAAGCTTGAAGGCCCTTCTCTCAGCTCTGTGCATCTCATTCTTTCTGGCCTTTTGAGTAGCTTCAGGTTCCCCTCTTCCTCTCTTGTTACCATCTTTTTCCTCCTCTTAATCAGTTGTTCAGTTGAATAAATGGCACCACGTTTCAGCCAGTTTCTCTAGTCAGAAACCCGGAGGCCACCTCTGCTTCTCTTATGACTAGTTCCTTACAAAGTAGACCATCTAATCGATCAGTTTTATTACTCAAATAGGTTTTTCTGAGAAAGAATCTTTCTGCATAGTTCTGGTTGGGCTGGAACTCACTATGTAGAGTAGGTTAGCTTTCAATTTGTGGTGATCTCCCAGCTTCCGCCTCCTAAGACCTGGAATTGTAGGTGTGCACAATCATGCCTGACTCAAAATTGTCTTTAATCTGCCTCCTTCCAAATTCAGTACTATCACTTAGTCCTGACCAACATTTTTTTCTCCTGACCTCTGTGTCAGCTAGTCTTGCATGGTCCCTCAGCTACTGTTCTTGACCTACTTTACTACATTTGTGATAACCTGGTGGTAGTGACCTTTCTCATGCATTAAACCAAATAAATTGTTGGTTATAGAATAAAATTGAAACTCTTTACCATGGCTCACAAAGTCCTTCACCATCTGACCCTTTTTTATTTCTCCAACATCTTGTGTATTCCTCTCACTGTTTACCATGTGTGGCTATGCCAGTTCCACCAACCGGCCAAGCAGGCTCTTTTCTGTACCTCAGGGGGTTAGTAAATGCTACTATTTCTAAGTTGCCCTTCATGGCCACCCTCTCCTCCATCACAATGCATCCTCTCAATGGGTGTAGAGTTTTGAGAGAGGCCTGACTGGAGCCATATTGAAAGTAGTCGTGACCTCCCAATCATTTCCTCTCCCAGTTTATTTGTAATCTTATTTATTTGTTTATTCTGTTTTATTTCCTTCCCCCCACATTAGAATGTATGAAGAAGAAACTGTGTGGGGATGTCTGGATTCTTCAACACTGCATTCTCTGCCCATAGCAATTTGGTGCATATTAGATGCACAATAAATGTCTGTTGAAGGGATAAATGAATACATATGCTAATTTTTCTGTTGGGGATTCACTCTCTATTGACTCAGTAAGAGATATTTATATATTAAAACCACTAATCACTTGTTTATTCTGTTTGTGCAGACATTCTGCCCCTTCTCCAGTATGTGCCAGTTGAATTCTTGATGTCTATGATATACAGAAACATTGTATTTTTCACAACAATAAATGTCTTTTATGAGTCCTGCATTTGGTGATATGTTTAAAAATATCTTCTCTGTGTCAGTGTTACATGCATATTTGTTTGTTTCCTTGTATTTTCTTTTTTTTTGATTTAAATATTTTCTCTAAATGGAAATAATTTTTGGCATAGGTATGACTAAGGGCCTAAATATTTATTTAGTTGTTATATCATCACTTATTGAAAATCCTTTTTACTGTTTTGAACAGTTGACATTTATCAGATATTAAATTCTTCTCCCTAGAGTGGTTTCTGGATTTATCACTTGTTTGCTGTTCCTGAAGTCTGTTAACTACTGCTGTGGTATCAGTTGCTTTACTCTGTTTACAATGAAGTAATATTACTCTTACTTTAAAAATATTTTTGTTTTTTGGCTATGTTTTTTTCCTTTATTCTCCTCAATAAGCTTTAGTTATATTTTGGTAAAGTCCAAAAGAAAGTCTACTGTCATTTTCTTTAGAATTGCTTTAAGATTCTGGGTTATTTGAGAAAGAGTTGTAAAGTTTGTACTCTGAAGTCTCCTATTGAGGAACTTGTCATGTGTTAAGGTTACTGAAGACATCTTGTGTGTCCTTCAGGGTTTTTTTTAATGTGCTGTAAATTTATTTGTTTTATTTTAGCTGTTTTATATTTTGTTGCTATTTGACTGTGATCATTCCCCACCCCCCAACCCCCATTTTTAAGAGCTTTTATGAAAGCTGTTCTTTGTAGAGTCAATTGATTTTGTATTTGATAACTTTTCAGAACTCTCACTAATCCTCACTGATTCTTTTCTACATAGCTGATCACTTTAAGCATAAATAATAATTTTGTGCTTCTTTTGCTATGCTTATACCTCATTGAATAAGTGATGGTAATAGCTTTGCTCTTACCCTGACTTTTTAGGATGCCATCAGTATTTTACCAGATTTTAATGTTAACTACTGGACTCAGATGCAGGCCTTCAGTCAAAGGAAATGATTTTCTGGTTCAAATATACCAAACATTTTTTTGGGGAAGTTCTTGTTGAATTATATTAAACATTCTTGGTAACTAGAGGTTATCATTTGGTTTTATTTTGTGGTCTATTACCATAATACACTATTATTAACAGATTTCTTAATACAGAGCTATTTCTGCATAAGATAGAGTCTGTACTCATGGTGAACTTTCCCACATTTTAGGTATAATAATGTTAAATTCAACTCCCTACATTTTAATTGGGATTATTACATTTATATTCACAAAAGGTTAGATTACAATCTTGTATTTTTATATTCTTCTTTCTTAGTTTCAGAAGAGGAATTTCTCTATTATTTTAGGTATAAATTAGTAATACTGTAGGAGCTGTCTATTCCTTGATGTCTTGGAGGAACTCCCTCATAACACTGTTTATAAGATAAAAGATAATTCTCTGAAATTTTTGAAAATTTCTATGGTTTTGTCCTATACAGGCAACCATACTTCTTGAATAGCAATTTTAAAATTATATTTTTTAAAAAAATCATGCATTTTCATAGAATTTAAAAATATGTTAGATTTCTGCATATATTTATCTTATAATTAAAAAAATATTTTTCTCTGTATCTGTGGTTGTAGTGTTTTTCTTATTTCCTAACTTTTTAGTGTTTAGTTGTATCTTTTCTTTTATTAGACTTGCAAGTTTTTTTTAAGGCACCAACATTTAAATATTTATTAACTCTAGTTTTTCTGCTTTTATCAATATAATTATTTATCTCTAATTTCTTTCTTATTCTTACAAGTTTAGTTGTTGTTTTATGAGTGTTTCTTTGTAATTGATGACTTAGATAATTTTTAAATTTCTTATTTAGTAATCGGACATAAGACTATAAACTTACCTCTGGGCACAGCTTTATTATGGAGCCTCTTACTGTTACAGTGGCTGTCTCTACTCCATTTTTAACTGGTGTAATTTACGGTAGTGTTCTGAATTTTTTCCCTGTTAATTCTGCTTTCTTTAATAAAAAAATAAGTTTATTAATATTTATGTTGCTATTTTAATAAAGAGCCAATTTTATTTGTAAGAGGTGAGCTTAACTGTGAAATGAGTTTATCTGAAGTAGCATACAAGCACCACCGTAGAGTTTTCCTTTGGAAGGTGCCACCAATAGTGCCGGCTAGTGTCAACAGGCAGCAGAACTTGGAGGCATCATTACTACCAATAGTTTACTGAAATAGCAATTTCTTCAC